AGCCCGACTGTCAGGGAAAATGTACCACCCGGCCATTTTGAGCGGCCATTTTGAAGAAAAAAAAGAAGAAAAAAAGGGCCTCCTCCTCCTTCCTATTTTTCAAAAAGGCAGGACGCTAAACATTTTTTTTTTTATTTGGCCTAATTACTCAGTATCAGTAGCACTGTTCTTCTTGTCTGTAAGGAATCTTTTAGTCTAGCCGAAAACTTTTTTTGTAAACGTTTAAATAAATATATGTACCTCCATGTAAACAAATTGCGTAATTTTGGTCATTTGAAGTTTGAGGTCTGGGGTGCGTTTCACAAAACATGTCATCTGTGACAAATGACAGTTTTAGTTATAAGCTACTGAAATCCTTGCTTCTGATTGGTTGTCGGCAGATGTGTCACTGTTTTTTTTTCATTTGCCATTGAAAAGAGGCTTTGTGAAACGGGCCCCTGGTGTATCAGTATTAATGTCCTTCGGAATCCAAATCTTCGTTCTAAATTATTAGAGCCCATGTTTACAAGTTAGTGTACCGTTATCTCCGTGTATTGTTACGTAGTCTATTGGTTTGTGTTCAGCCTGAACATTAGTGGTATTATCATTATGGTTTTGATGAGGATGATTATAATAATTTCGTCGCTGTTTTCACGAAGTGACGGTAGTGAAAAAAAATTGCATTCACTTTGCGTTACGATTTTCCTCACTACCGTCACTTCGTGAAAACAAGGACGATTTTTATTATACTATTTATGTACATTTTTAAAAATTATTATACTACTACTATTACTACTACTGCTACTACTACTACTACTACTACTACTACTACTACTACTACTTCTACTACTACTACTTTTACTACTACTACTACTACTACTACTACTACTACTACTACTACTAATACTACTATTATTATACTACTTGTTCTATTACTACTAATACTATTGCGAGTAATAGTTGCTGCGGTTGTTATAATTGATATCAGTCATTATGATCACCATAGCTCTAATAATGATCGGAAACTCATAAAGCGAACTAGTTAATGATCTTTTACTTTTTCAAAGAAACAGAAATATGTTAATTTAATAAATAGGTTTCTGCCGTGTATTTTCCCATCCTGGTCACGTCGAATTAATTTGAAGCTTCGAAACAACGATGTTTTGACTCCTGTCATGTGCGGGCAAGCACTGAATCCAATGACCGGGGTAATAGCAGTGGCGGATCCGGCCCCCCCCCCCCCCCTTGAGAAAAAAATCATGTAAAATCACGTGATTTTTACCTTTTTGGGGGTTGGGCCCCCCTGCTCAAGGGGGGGGGGGGGTGCAAATGAATTTTTTTTCGAGGATCAGAAGAAAAAAAGTGCTCACTACCCCCCCCCCCCCCCCCCCCCCCCCCACTGAGCGACTTTTCGGCCGGCGCGATTTTCAAATTTTCGGTAGCAAAAAAAAAAAAAAGTGGGCCCCCTCCCCTAAGAAATCCTGGATCCGAGACATTTGTGATAAGCGCTATATAAAAGCTAAATATTATTATTATTATTAATCTGATTGAGCCGTCCATTATTTTAGTTGGACAAGAACCATATTGGTGCTTTCAATATACTACCTGTCATTGAGAAGGTCTTACATGAACATGTTATGACCTTTCAAAGTGTTGTGGTATAAATACATTAACATTCTCGAAATGCTCTTTGTCAAATAATTATAATAATAATCATAATAATAGTGGGTTCATGTATAGCGCTCATGTCTGTCAGATTTGACACTCCTGGCGCTCCCGATTATTACCCTGGCTTTAGCACGGCTGCCATACGGCGCTCCAGCATTTCAAGGAATTAATTCATGCCAGGTACCCATTCACCTGGGTTGGGTGTGGATCAATGTAGATCATGTCTCGCCAAAGGACATTAGTGTCGGTGCGGGACTCGAACCGCGGACCTGCCTTGTGGTCGACAGTCCGGTGACATGTATGTATAAAAGAAAGCAAACACAATCAGAGAAGCAAACTGATGAAAGTTTCAATTAAATCTGACTTAATATGAGAAAGATATGAACTTTTGAAAGTTGTAATCACTATCATTATGGGCACTTCAAATTGACTGAAGCAGTAATTAATGTCAATGTGATGTAGTGCCGGACTACTTTCCCATCAGTGCCAACATATAAAATGACTAAAATTATAACAATTAAAAAATTCCTGGCTCAGCAGTTCCTATTCTTTTTAGAGGACCTATAGTAAAATGCTATCTATAATCTATTTTAGGTAGTGCCCCAAGGGAGAAGGAACTTTCGGGAAAGACAGAAATTAATGATGTTTTTGTACACGGCAAATGGGAGAGTTATCCACGTCCTACGTCACAATCCGCTGACCAATACAAACTAACAATTTGAGATTTGCATAGACTTAGTGATCGTATATTTCAAACATTCATAACTTCCTTACTATTGGTCTGATTCTGATTGGTGTTAAACCTTTGCCATTCCGTTTGTGTTATTGTTTGCTTTCATACAAAGCAACTTATTACAAGGGTTGGGTTGCCCTTTAATACATACGGTAGCCACTATTCTTTGTTAGTGAATAGAGCCGTTGCGAGATGTTGGAATATATACTGTACTAAATTTCGTCAAGATCAACATGATAATTCATTCCAAACATTAAGTTTACGTCTCAAACAAAAACTGTCACAACTCTGATAAAAGCAGAAATATCCTGAGCCAACTTATCGAATGTAGGAAGAGGATTTGAACACGACCTAATTTTAAAAGAATGGATTAGTATAGGGGTGATTAAGAAAGAAATCAATTAAAAATGTATTTAATTTAAATTATTTATTTCCACATCAAGATAATAACAACATTATATAATATTCTAGTGTTATTTAGGCTTTGGAGAGTATGGTAATAACTGATAAGTAGTAGACCATATATACAATAATTTCCACCCCTAGCTTTTTTTTAAAGAAAAAGTTATCATAAATACATTTACAATACAAGATTTAAAAAAAAAAAATCTTTAAGTTATTTATGCACCTATGAAAAAAGAAAGAAAACAAAACGTTATACAATGTATGTGATTTGAATTATTGGTTTCTGCATTTTTCTTTTTTTCATCATACATTTTCATGAATATAATATGGTTTGATACAATATTTCATATGTATATATATATATACAGAATATACAGACAATATACGAAATGTATAGTCGAGGACTCTAAATCATGACAATGAAAGTTCAAACGATGTAATTGGCAGTAGCACTGACCTATGTATTCATATAGTTCTCTTCCCTGGTATAACCTGGCTATTAAAGAAATTAATTTGTATGTGACACCGTATGTGCGACTTTAACAGCTCAATAGCTGCTATACATGTATAGGGGCCCCACGCCTGCGGACTTTTTGTCACCCGCTTGCATCTCGTGTGGTTCTTGTCGCTTGCTCTCATAACATGCTTAAAGTAAGAAAAGGGAGAACCGCTCCAAGGAAAGGAAAGTATGCAATATTTTGCTGAAGAATATCAATCTTGTCCTGGTTGACGCTCGTTAAAATAACCTTAAGAGTGTGGATTCATTAGTACGTGAAGAAGAGGTACACTATTGAGATGAAATTCATCATGTTCATCGCAATGTATCATAAACCTACGAGTGAAGCGTTATGATGGACGAAGAACCCCTGTGTGTTATGACTTACGATTATTATGGCTATGTCTGGAAATAAATCAATACCAAATATAATCTATAAACCATTCTTATCTATATATTTATGGTGTAAAGGAACATACTGCCAATTAATGTCACTTCATTTAAGATTGAATGAGAAAATGTGTTTAGCAACGTGCTAATTGGAGGCATTACATGAGCTTTAAAGCCCGTCTATACCAGTTTAGCCAGGGGCATAAAACCTCTCTGCAAGGTCACTGACAGGTGGTTATCACATCAAATTAGCTCTCAATTAACATAAGAAAAAGAGGATCATGGGGGACCAACAGGCAGCAATTAAGCATTGTTTGCTATATAGAGGGCGCATGTAACTGTAAGTAGTGCGGTGGGGCTTTAAGATGAGTCCTTGACAGATGTAGGACTATACGTGACGATCGAATGATTCTGAACACCCTCAGAATCATTCGATCGTCACGTTCGTTTATTGATGTTTGGCCAGTAAGAATCGTCTGAGAATGTTAACATCAACTGAACATGATGTAAGTCATAAATACATTGACACCGTCTATTAAAGCGAATATATATGTTCTCCCGTTGCTGCGTGAAACTAAACTGTAAAATACTTACTTGCTTTGCGTCTTAAAGGTACTATGTCCCTTTTGCAGCCAACCTCAAATTCTGTAGAACTTTGCAAGAATTATGAATATGTCATGTATGTCCTATCTGTGAAATTTAAAGGTTAGCAGTGTCCTCATATTCAAATTATGCAAGGAAACCTGTTTACTTGCTAGACTTCACTGTCAGACACTATTGAGTGACTGACTGGCATTTTTTCTTCTTTGGTAATAACATACATGAAAAGAGCTGTAAAGGGTACATGAGTATTTGTCTATATCAATAATCCACTTATTGTGATGGCCAAGATTAAACTGATTGAATCTTTGCGCAGCATAAAACGTATGACCATTCGGTACAATTGTCTGAAAATCAAGACTATTACTTTGGGGCTCTATAGCCCTAAAGTCGATTTGACAACTAATAGTCGTTATTTTCCCACTTGAAGACATTTTCAAGCCCCACCTTTTTTAGGGAAGTTCTAAATTAGTATTATCTTTCAAATGCAGTTGGAATTTAACTTTTTCATTTTTTTTTGGCCTGCAAATGGGACATAGTACCTTTAAAAGGTAAATGATTCCTTTTCCTACTGCGATGTAAGTCTAAATACATCGACATCGTAAAAGCGAACATTTATCTTATCTTGTTACTGCGTAAAACCAAACTATACAAATAATTATTGCTTTGTGTCTTAAAAGGTAAATGATTCCCTTTTCTTTCTGCGTTATTATTTTATCTCTCATGTAGGAAGATGCGGTCTGCTGACCAAGAAGTTAATTAAGGAGTTGTTTCACGGAGAGGACCCTTATAACAGACAAATCAGACCAGTTATCAACGAGTCTACACCCACCAATGTACAAATGAAGTTTTTTGTTTCTCAAATTCTTAATATGGTAAGTTCATGTACTCTTTTTTTCTAACCCCACGCCCCCTAAAGGAGAACATATAGAATCCAATTTTGTAACAATATGTGGCAATTTTATTTTAAATAGGTATAGCGGATAACAAATGTGAACATTAAAAAAAAAAGCATAATCCTTTCAGGATCAACATTGTTAGAAGAGTCATATCGGTAAGCGAACCAAGCCCTGTTCTTCCTTATTATTTCACGAAAGTACTCTCGATAAAACCAGCAATTCATTTTGAAAAAAGAGCATTGTACGGTCCTCTCAGCAGTCCTCAGGGTGGCTCGGCTAAGGCTGTGGAAATAAAAGTATAGCGTTTAGTATACAACATTGATTGTATATGATTATCATAATGATGGTTGTAATTATTAGGCCTATTATCATTATTATTATTGTTATTATTATTATCATTGTTCAATATGATAATTAGCATCATCATCATCATTATTATTATTTGTCATTATTATCATTATCATTATTGTTATTATTATTATCAATATTATTGTTATCATTAGCACTATTATAATTAATTTAGTAGTAGTAATTATACACACGTAGAAGTGATAGTAGTAGTAGTAGTAGTAGGAGTAGTAGTTGTAGTATAAGTAGTTGTAGGAGTAATAGTTGTTGTAGTAGTAGTTGTAGTAGTAGTAGTAGTAGTAGTAGTAGATTGAGTAGTCGTAGTAGTAGTAGTAGTAGTAGTAGTAGTAGTAGTAGTAGTAGATTGAGTAGTCGTAGAAGTAGTAGTAGTATTATAAGTTGTAGTAAAAGAATTGAAGAAGAAGTAGTAGTAATAGTAGTAGTACATGTATTAGTAGTATTTGTAGTAGTAGTAGTATTAGATTTTTATTATTATTATCATTGTTAGTAGTAGTAGTAGCAGTAGTAGTAGTAGTAGTAGTAGAAGTATTATTATTATTATTAGTGGTAGTAGTAGTAGTAGTAGTAGTAGTAGTAGTAGTAGTAGTAGTAATAGTAGTAGTAGTAGTATAGTAGTAGTAGAACCATCATTTAAACGATTTCGAGTTGAAAAATTCTTAATTTTGGCAGCATTTGTATTCGGCTTCAAAGCATAAGGGTATACTTATATATACAAATAAATTACTATAAAAATTCCCAAAGATATGTATATCATCATTTGTTCATAGAATCGTTAGATTTCAGTCAAACCACAAGGTTCCCCAAATAATGGATTATATTTCCAACCCTGCTTGATTATAGTAGAATATGAATATGTAATGATAAGGAACATCTTATTTCCGCATGAGTAAATGAACTAGTAGACATTGGCCAAGATTTTCATGGCTTAACATCAAATAAAAAAAATGAGGAATCAGAGATTCATGTGATATTTTACTTGTCTTGAAAATAAGCGATTACAAGGTAATACAAAGTTTAGGGAAATTTTGAAAATTGGGTGGATAGTGAATCTTTACAATTTTGATATATTTGGATGCCCCTGTGGATGTATTATAGCCACTAACAAAATTAACCCCTAAAACACTTCTGTTTTCGAGAAAAATTGAATATAAAAACTTACCGGTGCTCCCGGTAAATTTTAAATAAATTTCAAATAGCGCCTACGGCCGTACAATGGTAGCTGCGACCATGAAAATCTCAGAATGTGTAGTTGTGATATATAATTTCCAAAGGGGGATAGCTAATCGATCGGTTTTAGTCAAGAAACATTGTTTTATTGTGTGTGTGTGTGTGTGTATTGGGTTTTTACAGACGTGTATCAATCAGATATGATTATTTACGTCTGGGACCGACCTTTAAACGTCACCATCCGAAAGACGTGACTCAGTTTCGAACCTGCGTCCTCGGCTGAATCAGTTTGTAACTTCCACTTTTTAGCTGGATTACAGGCGCACGCCACAACGCCTAGTTTTATTGCTTAATTAATATCTTGACCTTGAGAGGGCGCTATACAACATAAAGAGTGTATTATCTATAATTTCATAACTTTAGACTTGATTTCAAACGGGACAACGATCAATGAATATTGTAGGAACGCATATGCTTCCAATATGTTAATTTGAACCAAATTCATGACCCCATACCAAACCTTTGTAATACCTTAAAGAACAATTTGAAAATTTAAAAAAAAAAATCAAAAAGAAAATCGTATAGTTTGATTTGAGATTCAGATTGAATTCGACATGAGTATAAAGGGCGATCTACTTAAAAAAAAAAAACACACACTTAATGACAGGGTCAATAGCTAAATAATTAGGTAACCGAAGTACACTTCATGTCCCTCAAAAATCAATTTCAGTTCTCATATTGGTAACTTTATGCATCCTTACAAAACAGAGCACAGCCATGACAATGTTAATTACTGCTGATGAGAGGTCAGGTGGCATGTGGTTTCAAATATCAGTCTTGCAGTCTTGTAGCAGGGGGTTGTTCTCTGCTTACAGGTTGGCTTACCCAACCAGTCTAGGACATTACCCCCCCCCGGAAAATTCTCCCGTAGGACAATTACCCCCCCCCCCCCGATCAAACACAACCAAAGATAATCACCTACGAGGACAATTACCCCCACACCCGGAAAATTCTCCCGTAGGACAATTACCCCCCCCCCGATCAAACAAAACCAAAGATAATCACCTACGAGGACAATTACCCCCACACCCGGAAAATTCTACCCTGGGTCAATTACCTCCCACCCCCTCCCCCCGGTCAACGATCCCGAGGACAATTACTCCCATGAAAATTGCCCACCTGTGCATAAAAGGGGAAGTCCACCCTGATCATAAGTTGCTTTTGAATTAGTTAAACTGTGATCAAAATCGGCTGAGAAATAGGAAAGCTATGATTTTTTGAAGCTTCGATCAATCATAGACAACTTGGCCACAGTGCGACGTATCTTGTGAGCTCCTCTTCAATTTGCTCTGTACAGAAACATTCATAAACTTTTATTTTCCTATGACGGAGTAGATTTGTTTCATACCGGGGTTGTATAAAGATAAATTTTCAATACTTATACCAGAAAAGTTATTGGTAATTGTCCTGAGGGATTGTCCTATATGGAGTAATTTTCCAGGGGATAACTGCCCTTATTATTACTATTATATTCGTAATATTATTATTATCATCATAACTAATAATTATAATTGTTATTATTATCATCATTATTATTATTATCATTATTATTGATTCTAAATTGTTCATAATTTCACGGATATATAACCTGTACTGTTTTTAGTTGACTATTCCTTGATTCAGACTCTAGCTTTCATAACTCTATGAATATTTAAAATACAATATCGTAAAAGTTTAAACACTTCAAGCTTCCCTTCATTCAGAGACTGGAAATTTAATCAATTCCTTTTCGCTCATTGGCATACAATCCGCGGTTCGGTGGATCATTCAATGTCCCTAATGGGCAATCAGCAATTCGTTGAATATGCCATACACGATATTTTGTACAAACTACGAGAACACGTTCTCATTTGTAATACGTACTTACTGTTATAAAGAATGATTAGAAATGTATATAGACTTCATAGCATACTGCTTCCGTGATCCCCCTATAAATGGGGGGCGTTTCACAAAGCCATTTTTCAATGACAAAATGAGAAAAAAAACAGTGACAAATCTGCTGATAACCAATCGGAAGCAAGGATTTCAGTATCTTATAACAAAGACTGTCATTTGTCACTAATGGCATGTTTTGTGAAACGGGCCTCTGATGAAGAATTTATGACATACTACCACTACTAAAATAATTTAGTCTCACTTTCTGAGAGTTACCACGTCAGTATTAATACTGCTTTTCCTCCGGGCGCTGCATTTATTATTACCCCGGCGATTGCCAGATACCCATTTACAGCATTTTACACCTGTACAGTCGTGGGTGGAGAGTGGCAAATGGGGATTAAGGTCTTGCAAAGGGACGGTTGTGCCGGGTTGGGATTCGAACCCTCAACCCTTTGATTGAGAGTCAAGTGAATTAACCGCTATACCACACAACATCCACATGTATTATATTCCAACATTCAATACTTTGTGTACCAAAGGAAAGTAATGTATATCCATTGACTCGATACATCATGTTCGAGTACGTGTAATGAGACTTGAGGCTTAATACAGAGTTCGATGTGGACGTTTGATATTGACTCTCAACTTCAGGGTTGAGGGTTCGAATCCCAACCCGGCATTACTGTCCTTTGTCAAGGCATTAATATACAAATAATGTACTGCAGTGAGGGCATTAGTAAGAATTACCCACACAAGGTACCGTTGGACTGTTTCAAAGGTACCGAGTGTGGGTAATTTTACTAATGCTCGAACAAAATGCTTTGTATTATTTGTTTTATAAAATTATGACGTGGATCCTTGTTATTTGATAAATCACCCTCATTTCAGTCAAAGTCCGTATATTACTAATTCTAGGTCCACATTATGACCGATCTAGGCCTAGATCTAACTTAGATATTATGCGTTTTAAATTCCGCGGCAGCCATTTTCGATAAATCTCAATGATTGCGATCGCAAAACATGATCGCTAATGACCGGTCATTACCATTGGGTAATGACCGGTCATTACCCAAATTACGCGTTAGGCAAAATAAATGCCTGGTCACGTATACGCTTTCAACGAATCATTTGATTAGGATCTACGTCATCATCACTCTACACCCAGGTGATAAATGGGGACCTGGCAATACACCAGTTTACAGCTGTATCAGCGCGCATGCGCAGACATTTGACCTCGGGTCATTGGCCCCGGAAGCGGGGCCAATAACTATGACCAGTGGTATTTATGCGTAAATTAAGATTGCGCCCATGCAAATGATGATGTGCGCGCACAATGCAGCGCGTAGGCAGTGATATCATCATAATTTGCATGGGCGCAATCTCAATTTACGCATAAATACATGACCTCTAGGTCATTGGCTTTGTTTAAAATGGCGCACACAACCGTAAACTGGTGTATTGACGGGGTAATGTCAATAACACGGCCTGCAAAAAGAGATGTGCAACTATACCCTTTGCAAATAAAAACCCAATCATCATTTCATAATTGATATCTTTTCATATTATTCAGGATGAAAGGTTACAGCAGCTGAAGACTAATGTGTGGCTTACATATGTGAGTATCAAGATTATACTTTGTGGGGCAATGAATTAAACTACTGCAATAAGATGATTTTTTTTTTTAAATCTGTGTTGTCCCCCGAGACAAAGTCAAGGAACATAAAATATCGAAATTGCCGCTTGAGAGGCTACAGTTTTCCGTACCTGACAAATAAGCAGTCAATACATGTATTTGCACCATAAATGTTATACAAATATTGCTAAGTGTATGAATATTGTTTATGTTTCTTCATAATAAGTTTCAACTTAATTAAATTACGTTTTTCTTTAATATACACAAGACTATGTCATTGTTGTAACTTCCGGAGCCTATGACCTACAAGCATTGCTTTCTCTTTAGGCTCCATCATATTTCTTCCCTTATTCAACTTAGTCTTATGTATCATTCTTTTTTTTTTGTTGTATAAACGCATCCTAAAATGAGTTCAAAATGTAACATGCTATATGTAATGATGTACTATACAACATGTGAGAAATATGAAAATAAACTGAAACTGAAACTGAAACTGAACTGAAACTCAAGCCTTTCAACTCGGCTACTTCTCGTTAAAGGGGAAGTCCGTTATATGCTGGTTTTAATAGAAGATACAAAAAGAGACTAGAGGAAAATCCGATCGAAATAATAAAGTTATTGTTCTAATTAATGACGGTCCAACCGTAGAGTATAAAACACGCTTACAATATATATTTTATCACCTGACGAAGTGTAGCAGCGGCACACGATATACGTCGTGATCTTTTAGATCCCTTGTTGACCATACATTGCGAGACAAACGAATGTCACTAGCGATATTATTTTCGTTAAGAAAGTTATACATTCGTAAAGTTGTAAGTGATCAAACGCATTGCTTTGTACTAAAAAATAATCTTTTTATAGAACATGTTTATATATATATATATATATATATATATATATACATGCACCCTGTTGCAAATATGTTTTACACAATCCTTTAAGAAAAATAACTATATCATCGCCATAGTTAATGGAAATATATGTCAATTTTAGTGACATTAAGCAAAAAGTTACGTCGGACAATTTCCTGTTTGTGGTTGTCATGGTTGATCTGTCAATTAATCTTCAGAAACATACTTTCTATCGATATTATATCGATTTTTTGTCTTCTAAATTTCACTAATAAAGAATCCCGACCTGAAAGAATCACAATATAAAACAATAATACATACAAGATAGAAGAGTACTTCAAATTTGACAATTTAGTGAATAGCTGCATAACTCAGAATTTTAGCATGATAAAACTGTTTTTCCTTGGGGTCCAGAAAATGAAATGAAAAGTGAACTTACATATAAAACGAAATTTAAAAAACAGTACAGCTATTCTACATTTATGCGTAAATTTGAAGACATCTAGAAAACAATAAAAACACATCTAGAACTGTAATTAACCAGCACCATCCTCCCCAGCTACATCGTCACAACAAGCAAATCCCTCTAAACTAGATCAAAGCAAAGCTGAGTTCGTATATTCAAATGATTGCAAGAATTTTTCATTTATTTGACATATGAAGATAGGTCATTGCGTCGATGTATTTTTTCTAATAAAAACACTTTTAGAACTTTAATTATAAACCAGCACCATCCTTCCCAGCTACATCGGCACAACAAGCAAATCTCTCTAAAGATCAAAGTTGAGTTCGTATATTCAAATGTTTGCAAGAAGTTTCCATTTATTTGACATCTGAAAATAGGTCATCGCGTCGACGTGTTTTTTTTTCTTCTAATTTCTCTACCTTAAATAAAAGCACTTAATAGAACACCTGCATCTCACCTATAAACATATGACTGCCCGATAATAGTACTAATATTCATTACGTTGGAGTCAGTAGTATGCCCGCATTTTAAAGCAGTCACATGGATTGTATCGTACTTCACTTATGAAAAGATTCTTATGTCACAATTCAGTATGTATTTACAGTTCAGTCTCTAAAAGAAATAATCAACTGCATGTATAAAAAATGACAATTTTATAATTACGACAGGCGACAGCTCAGATTTTGATGGGAATTTTTCAAAAAATGATTTGTAGATATATTCTATTTTCTTTAGAGAGTACATGACCAAGAAGGTTTTTTTACTTGTTTGAATTTATTACTCCTACGAAACAGTGAAAATATTAAGATCATTGTGGTTATCAGATTCCTGTTTTTTTTTTAATCGACGCGTCAGAAAGACTTACAGCCTTTTATTACAGTTTCATAAGCCCCTACCCCCCCCCCCAACAAAAAAAAAACATTTCTCAGAGTTCCAAATAAGACGATATTAACAATCATAATGTGCTGTGAATGTAATTTCTTCCTCTTGTGGAATAACATGAAAAATATTTTGTGTGCCTGACCCTGCATAAATGCCTTCTTGTCCCCTACTGCAACATGTAAAGCCCACAGTACACCACACGATCTGATGACGATCCGATTTTTGATTAATTTCCAATAGCATTTGATGTGTACATCCAAACTTGTGAAATATTAATGATTAAGGTTCTGAATGGTCAAAGGATTAATAAAATCTCATTTTCAATCGATGTCAAGCTTCCATGGAGGAGGAAAAACGAAATCGGCTCAGAATCGTGGTGACGTTTGACCAGTAGTGCGATTGTTTACGAGTGAAGCCGATTCGGACTAAAAATCTTAAATACACACAAATTCCAGTTGTTATATTTTATATCAATATTTAGAACCTAAATCAGGAAAAATGATTTTTGTTGAGATTCCTATATCTAATACAATTGCCATTATTTTCTTTGAAAATCGGATCGCCGGGGGATCGTGTCCGCGGATATCTGTGATGTTCCTGTGTGATGCACTCAGTTGCAGACAGTCCATGACCAGTACGTGGCAGCATGCTCATGTTTCTTTCAGATATAAGCCAGCTTTATTTTCTCCTGCTGACGTCACAGGGATTACGTAATCGCAACCCATATTGTCAACAATTTCAATGGGTGTTCCCAAGCCCATTTGTTTTTCTCATTTTGCAGCTGATTGATTGAAAATGACTGAAAGTTGTTTTCATCATCAGATTTACGATGAAAAATTACTAGAACAGGTTATATATAATAGTTAAATTTGAGATCGTCTGATGTCATATAGATCCTTTAAATGTGCCGATGATTCTGTTTTACGGTAGGTTTGGACCGATGAATTTCTACGCTGGGATCCAGCCGATTTCAACGGACTGAAGAGCTTCAAGATAACCTCTGACCTCATCTGGATGCCTGATATCGTCATCTATAACAAGTAAGAATGACTTCATGATGATGATGATGATAATGATGATGCTGTTGCTACTGCTGATAAATAGTAATAATACAAGAAGTATTACAAGTAATAATAATAACAGTTAACATGATATTAATAATGAGGATGATAATGATGAAGGTGATGATAATAATAATAACAACAATAACACCGTACTACTACTAATAATAATGATGAAACTAACTATAACAATAATAATAACAGGAATATATAACAATTAAAAATGATGACACTGATGGTGATTATATGGTATTGATGATGGCGGTGGTGGTGGATGTGATGATGATATTCATTGTCGTTCTTCCATTAACTACTTTCCATTATATACCATGATCGGCAAATAAAATGGCATAACACCAACTGCCCCAATCACTCTGACCACACTCAGCTCCAGGTATGCAACCCTTAATCGTGAGCATGCGTAAAAACCTTAATTATGCGTAAACAACTTAATTATGCACAAACAAACTTTATTATGCAAATGAAATACATCGCGAAGCCCTGATTTGCTTTCTTTATTCTATCTGGTCTTCTTGCTCACGCCTTCCGATTCCGCTCAGCTAATTTCTTTTTTCTTCTCTAAGGAATTAGAAATAGACTACCTGTAACATGGCCCTACTCCTGCATTAAAATCCTTTTTTTAATGTCTTTTCATCACGTGCATTTTTTCCTTCTTTTCTCATCATCTATTTTAATTTTTTTTTATCGCTCATTATAATATACACTTGTAACATAATTACAGTCGTCCATCTTCGGCGTGTCTTGTCTTATTCTCAAACTTAAATGTTCTCTGTACACTTATTTTGTTTCGTAGATAATATCAGTATTCGTTACTTGAATAATAAAGGTTTGTACATGTATATGGTTTGTATATGTTATCTTAATTTCTGATATTTGAGCGGAAAAATAAATCAAATCAAATCAAATCAAATCAAATCAAATCAATCAATCATATTTAAGTAGTCAGTATCACGAGTGTCATTTTTAATGTGCCGAAAAAAATGGACCACCATATTTTTTTCTCATCTGCAGTGCTGCTGACTCATATGAACCGTACATGTTCAACAAGATCGTCATGGTAGATCATAACGGTCGCGTAAACTGGGCATCACCTATTATTATCCAGTCGAGCTGTCAACTTGATGTTGCCAACTTCCCTTTCGACTATCAGAAATGTCATATCAAGTTTGGTCCTTGGCAGCTTGACGGATCCGAGCTGACGCTTAATGGATCAGGTATCTTGCTTTTCTTATTTCCACTTCATTATGGCTTTATGACAAAGCGTTATGTTTACGAGCATAGGACGTTTCGTCATGATCATTATGGTGCTGATGATTGTGGTGATGGCGAGGAATGACGGTGAAGAGGGCGACGCTGATAATGATGATAATGTGATGATAATTATGATGATGATAACGATGATAATTATGTTGATGGTAGTGGTGGTGGTGGCGGTGGTGATGATCATGATGTTGTTGATGATAACGATGATGGATCAGATCAGGTATCTTGCTTTTGTTATTTTGTATATATTTTTTTTAATACTTCATTTGGCTTTATGTCAAAGCGTTATGTTTACGAGAATATGATCATTATGGTGTTGATGATTGTGGTGATGGCGAGGACGGTATATGATGACGGTGAAAATTATGATATCGATGATGCTGATAAATGATAATGGAAATGATGATGATCATGATGATGGCAACGCTGATAATGATGATAATTTGATGATAATGATTGTGATGATGATAACAACGATGATAATTATGTTGATGGTGGTGGTGATGGTGGTGGTGGTGATGATGATGATGATGATGATAACGATGATAATTGTGTTGATGGTGGTGATGATCATGATGTTGATGATGATAATTATGTTGATGGTAGTGGTGATGGTGGTGGTGATGATGATAAAGATTGTGATGATGATATCAATCATTATCATGAAGGTGATGATTAAAATAAAGAAGATAAACTCTGTTTTCAGGTGATGAGACAGTTTTTCGGAGTGACGGTGAATGGGACATGATAGGACTAACGCACGAGACTACTCTAATGTCTTACGTAGACTCGCCTGGCATCTTGCATTATGACGTCAACTACACGATACACATAAGGAGGTAAGAAATAGAGAGAGAGAGAGAGAGAGAGAGAGAGAGAGAGAGAGAGAGGGAGGGAGAGAGAGAGAAGATTGAGAGAAATAGAGAAGATTGAGAGAGAGAGAGAGAGAGAGAGAGAGAGAGAAGAGAGAGGGAGGGAGGGAGAGAGAAAGAGAGAGAGGAGAGAGAAAGAGAGAGAGAGAGAGAGAGGGAGAGGGAGAGAGAGAGAGAGAGAGGAGAGAGTAAGAGAGAGAGAGAGAGAGAGAGGGAGAGGGAGAGGGAGAGAGAGAGTAGATTGAGATAGGGGATCAAAGAAAGGGAGAGAAAAGGCAATCAAAGGAGGGAAGCTAGCTTTGAATGTTACGCTTCCTGGGAATAATTTCAATCTGTAAAACAAATGTTGGCTTGCACAAAAAAAATAGAGATTGCTAGCTCGATCTTGTAATTAAAAACAATTCAGAAAAAGCCTTCGGGATTTGAACCTGCTATATAATGCTTGGCAGCGACTCTACCAGAAGGTCATCACTGGTCCATGGCACAGTAACGATGAACTGCATGAAAACTCAGCTCTCCTGATTCATTCTGACTTATATCCACCAGTCTACCATTAGGAAAATAGGCTAGCTTTGAAGAGCGATCGAGACATATATAGAGAGATAAACAATGATCAAATGAGAAAGAAATAAAGAAAGAAAGAGAGGGAAAATAAAGAGGGGTAGAGAGGCGAAAAATCGAAGGAGGAATAAAGAGAGAAAGAGAGAGAGAGAGAGAGAGAGAGATAGAGGAGGTGGAGAGAGAGAGAGAGAGAGAGAGAGAAAAAGACAGAGGAAGAGAAATTGCAGGGATAGAAAGAGGAAGATCGCAAGAGAATAAGATGGAGATGAAGAGAGAAAGAACGTGATAGAGACAGAGAGAGAGATAGAGAGAGAGAGAGAAAGAGAGTGGGTGAGAGAGAGAGAGAGAGAGAGAGAGAGCCAGGTAGATATAATTCAGGTAGATAGAGATCCAGGTAGATAGAAAGAGAGATCGAGAGGTGACAAACACAACGAGAGGCAGACTGAGAAACATTTAGATCAAGCAAGATAAGCATTGATAAACTGAACTGCGGAAGAGACAGAAATCATAGGAGAAGTATTACACAATCATAGAGTTGGATTATGTCAACATGAATTTGAATTCATCCTAATATGATAATAAACTGTCATTCATCTTGCCCCTAAAAGATCGATTTCTTCAGCTTCTCTACATTTTTATTTTTCAAATTTATTCTGTCCTTCTTCCTACAGACGCCCTATGTACTACGTGTTCAACCTTCTCGTACCATGTATCCTGATCGCATCAACCACTCTTCTTGATTTCCTTCTACCGGTTGATTCGGGAGAGAAGGTATCTCTTGGTGTTACAGTTCTTCTCTCACTCACAGTCTTCTTACTTCTCATTGCTCAATCAATGCCGCCATCTAGCGTCGTACCCATTATAGGTATGAACACCACCTTTACACATCGAAATCCAATTCGTTGCCTTTACATCACCTTTTCACTATAGTTATACGAAATTCGTTTTGCGAACAGTAAGATACATTTTCGAATATTTTATAATACGTTTCTGGATATACGTCTTAAATATCTTTAACAAAGTTTCTGGGTACCCGGTTTTCAAACATTGTAAAGGTTGCTGGACATCCTTTTTGATATAACATTTCAAAATATGTTCACATGTCACAAAGAAATAGTCTTACCTTCAAAAATGTTCAAATTGTAAAATTTGCTTAATTGTAAATAATGTAACTACACTATTGCAATGTTTATAATCTTGTGTCCAGATGTAATATCCTCCATTTTGATGTGTTACAATATTGAAGAACCGATAAATAACCACCATCACCATCACCAATAATTATAGAGCATTAAAAGCTGGGTTGTTTTTTCTTGGGGGGGGGGGGGGGAGAGAAAAGGTCTTAACTTGAAAAGAATTCCTATTCTAGATATTTTGATATAGGTTTCAGATTTATGCTCGTATAAATTGAGTCAAATTAAGCTGTATATCATTCATCTTTATTCATACATTTGTTGGATCTTGTACATTATTAATTAAGTTGTATGTTACAACCAATCAGCCGTTTTGTATTGTATTCAAGTGGAAACTCTATTGCAGATTGACTATTATTATAATTTTATAACCCAATAATAGTAATCTGTATTGTGATTTGATGTGAAACACAGGTCATTACTACGTGTCTACCATGGTTTTGGTCTCGATCTCCATCCTCCTCACCGTTTCAGTGATCAACCTTCATCATCGCGGTCCATACTGTAGACCAGCTCCTAGATGGCTTAAACGGATCATTCTTGGACAAATAGCGTGGTATCTACGACTACAACCTGATCACTTCAAGAACATGAAGTTTGCTCCAGATAAGAGAGATTACAATGCCAACGAAAAAACCTTTTCACCGAGAAAAAGCGTCAGGAAGCAGATTGTCGGTAAATATCAATTTAATAATAGACAGACAAGTATGCTATCGCTACATCCTGACATCTCCCTGAAAGAAGTACGTAGACGTAAGTCTAAAGGCGCCCTAGCTTGAACACGTAATCTCGCGCTACCATAACTGTCCCCGCATTAATTATGACGCAGCACTCAGCTCAAAATCAGCGCATCAATCGCGGCGCTTATGTCCATTACGCACGTGGTGTCATTTGGATCGGGTTATTACTTGCGTTGATCGAGCTTGGGAAGGCATATGGGTGTATCCTGACACCTATCCCCTGAACATACACCCCCGGATAACCACCCCCAGTCAACTAACCACTAGGACAACTATCCCCTAAGACAACTACCCCGTATGACAACTACCCCGTATGACAACTACCCTCTAGGACAACTACCCCCAGACACTACCTCCGGACAACTACCCCCGGGCAACTACCCCCGGACAATTACCCCCGAACAACTACCACTTATGGTAGTTTTTCTAGAGGATGGTTGTCGTAGGGGGTAGTTGTCTGGGGGGGGGGCAGTTATCCGGGGGTAGTTGTCCTAGGGGGTATTTGTCCTAGGGGTAGTTGACTGGTGTTGTTATTCGGGGGGGGGGTGGGTGTCCAGGGTTTAGGTGTCCTAGAACGGCAATTGGGAAGACAATGCTTGCAATTTTGATTTGCATTCCCTTTCGGAAGGATGTCGCTTTCGCATGAAGTGTGAAGGACAGCAACTATCTGATGCCGTTCTGCGTCATGCAAAATACGCCGCAATTGTAACGGGCTTAAGTTTTATAACACGTCGCGTCATTTATCACACGAGGCAATAATTTGATCCCTAAGCCAGTCAAACATATGGCAGCAACTAGTGCATTGAAAAGTAATTCAGCGCATTGTTTGCTCGATTAATCATGTAATTACATTTTGGTATTTTGTCCTTTTCACTCGACGAAGAACTGCGTTAGAGCAACACGTGCGGGTTTCGACGCGCAATGTAAACCAAAGAGTTTTAAGAGATTGAGTCATATCTAGCTCATTCCCTTTGTACCATCTTCGATGCCGCCAGGAGAAAATATGCCAGGCATGTGCTGAACTGGATCTTTATTGCAGATACGTAGACAAAATATTCCTGCCTAGTTGCAAACTAACGGACCTCTTACTAAGGGAAATATGCTTTTGTAATGATAATTACTTTTCGCTACCACTCATCTGAAAATACGAGCAGTACACAGTGTGTACCTTACCAGGAGGCAGGCGAAAAGAAATGGAGCAAAATTTCCTGAAATATTAATCAAAATTACTCGACTGGGCACGTGTGGGCACTAATCTGACATATAAAATCACAAAGAACTGTACAAGAACAAATTCACTTTATATTTTCGTGAGCCGGAAGTAATCAGAAAAGTGTCAAATTGCAGGCTTTAGGATTGTAATATTTTACTATTTTTCACAAATTAAAACTGCTATTATGCACATTGTTTGCCACATTAAGGCTTTTGTATTCATATTTTATCATCTGTTCGATTTTCACCTTGTTAGTTCAAATATCAAGCTTTCCAAGTATCTTGGCGGCTTCGGACATCAAAGGTAAAAACACACCTGTAGATTCTATTGTGGAGCCTTAGTAAACGGCAGCTGCTTGGAATAATTTGTTGCCAATTGGGACTCCAGCTCTTAAAACTCCTTGGTAATTAAACTGCAATAATACATACAGTGAGTTGCGCCAAGGTTGCGGATTGTTGATGACTCCATCTCGATAGTGGCCCGAATATTAAATAGTAATACTATTTTGAAAATGTCTATAAATATGGCACTCAATTTAATCTACCGCATTCTCCACGAACACCTCAAGACCATTTCCCGCATTGTCCCGCAATGGGACCTTAATTTTTTGAATACACCCTTTTCTTCCTGGATTTCATTATTATCATTTACAGAGGAATGGGATAGATACAAGTCCGAGAATGGGAAAGTGACTGCACCCAACGACTCCTCTACCCAAGATGGTGGTCAGAGGAGAGATGAAGATCAGCTCCTTCTTTTACGACGAATGAACGAACATATGAAATACATCCGCGCTCATTTTGAAGAGAGCGACGAGTTTGAGGAAATCAAGAATGAGTGGAAACAGATCGCGTTGGTCGTCGATCGAGTCTTCGCTATCTTCTACGTCCTCGGTACGATCGGAACCGGCATGATTCTGGTGTTTAAGGTATCTTAAGCCTCGGTCACAAATGCCATTACGATCTGCTGCGAACGCCGTACGAACGATTTTCAGACAATGGAAATTCGGGAAGACAATGGAAAAACAGGGAGATTCGTACGAAATTATCGTTGGTACGAACCTTTGTGACCGTAGCATAAGGTGATGACTGATGTCATCTTAGAACTTGTTAGGATCGTCATCATCATCATGATTTTCTGTCATGACGAGTCGTGATCGTTCTTGAAAGAAAATAACAGTCTTCGATATACACAGATCAGAAGGTTATTTCGAATAAGTGTTTGTTAGTATCACCTGATGAATCAGTATTTACGGTACATTGAATCTGACCGCCAACCCCGCCCCCCCCCCCACTCAGTGTTATTTAGGGTACAGATATGCGTGTTCCCAGCGACCCCCCCCCCCTTTCAGCAAAAGTCCGGTGTGTAAAGTCAATACGGTTCGACCTTTTTCCTTTGTTATACAAGCCTTTTTCAGCACCCCTTCCCCTTTCAGCAAAAGTCCGGTGTGTAAAGTCAATACGGGTAGACCTTTTTCTTTTGTTACGAGCCGGAGAGTTTGGGAACACGCATGGTATCCCTCCGTTCACGGAGTGGGAGGGGGGGGGCGGGCCGCCAACACGTTTTTTCCTCGATTCATCCTCTTCTTCACGCAATCATTTCGTTTGGGTTTTCATAAAAACTCAGTCGCATTTGAGAAATGATCGGACGCCGACAAACTCATGTAATTGTAACCTGTCATTCAACAGCCGTATATCGGCAACTAATCACCCAATCAAATTTCTTGCAATCTGTTGAGATTTGGTTTTAAATTTATAAAAAATGAATACAATTTCGCTTTTGCTAATTCTTTTTCACCCCTTCTCTACCTATCTCTCTCTCTCTCTTTTTTTTTCATGTCCTACCTTCCTTCTCCGCCCTTCTCCAATCTTGTTTATTTTATGTTTGATATAAAGGAATTTGGTAGTGTTCAGAATTCGTCAAGTCTTCCTTATCAATATATTGTGACTACTATTAGGCAGAGCTTGATTTTGCTATTGGTCAATTTATCTGAAAAAATGACATCTTATATTATTAAAGATGTGATGCTAATCTAATAGAATATTTCAATGTATTTGTACTTTCATTAAATTTATATATCCCTCAGTATTTTGTTCGAATTAACATCAATAAATGAATAGCATAAAAATAAATGGAACAATTCATATTAGCAATAGAATAGCAGGTTATTTCCTACAAGTCACAGAACGAAAAAACATATTATTATTGCAAGAAAGGTAAAGCAAAAATAAGGTATTTTTGTCAGAAAGAGTCGTTGTTATGTCAGTTTATTTAGATCACGTTGTATGTACGGGTACAGTAAGTCTTAACACGTTTTGGTTCATGGACATGAACTTGGTTATTGTGCATGTTAACGCCCGTTAGCCTCGACTAGGGATTATTGTGAATTCCCATATCCAGTCCTAATAAATTTCGTTCAAAATTCAGTCGTAGTCAGTTGGTCGTCCCTTATCCGACGGTCTGAACTTACATTCTGAATTCTCAAGTGAGCTCCAAATATGGCACCTTGTTAAGGATTTTATGGTTGAACAGTAGACGTGTTGGCAGACAGAATTACACCTCGAAAAAAAATTGTACGCATTATTTATTCCCCACACAGAATTTATTAATAATTTGAGGACAAAACATTGTGGGAAATAAGATTGACGTTTGGTACCTGATAATACAATATATGTACATGTATTACTTTCTCTGGATATTAGTCTTAATTCTTAGATTTGTTAAAAATATCGTTTCATCCTCGATAACTTATGGTGCAATGGGTATGTTTTGCTTATATATACTCCACCCCTCGCTAAAATGACAAAGAAATAAAGGTATAGATATAACTTTCGGAGTCGTCAGATAACGAACTTGTTAGAGCTAAAACAATAAATGTTTATTAATTAAGATAAGATGTCTGGTTTTCTTCAAAGAAATGAGAGTGAATTGTTAATTCTTTTTAGTGTCTCTTTGAATATTTTAATGATGTAATTACTTTTACTATCTAAACTCGTCCCAAATGCTTCGTGTTAATTGATTGGTAAGAACGTCAAGTTGTATTCTTTCTATTTTCCTGATATGATATAAGGTTCATAATCATATGTGATTCAAGTGGTTTAAGTATGATTGTTGCACTTTCTGTTTTGGAGTAAACACTAGTTTCCCTAGTTTCATGAAGACGTGTACGATTCAGATCAAGTTTGTTGAATGTTGATGAGCTATGGTTTTAGGGGATGCTTGCTCCATAAGGGAGTTTACAGATACAATCTGCGCATGGGCAGTTAAAGGTCATTTGTACCAAAATGGTAAAACCCACAGAGATGAATACTGGATATGCGCTCATGAAAGTTATGTAACATTATTTATTTATGCACCAACGGTACATTCTATGATACACAGGTGGAAGTATTTTTTTCAAGAGGTCAAACAAAAAGTATTCATGAAGCACATCTAGGACTTTGGCAGTTATTATTCTAAGATGCTCAAAGTGGAACTTCTCCATGTGTAAAAGATCTGTGGATATTTGGGGTCATTTGTACCATGTGCTATTTGTAAACTCCCTTATTAATAACCATGAGAATGTATTAGAAGATTTAAGAAAACCCTGTATAATATTTTAGAGAAAAACCTTTTATTCCATGTATATTTAAAGACAGAGGGTATGTGTTATTCTGTATCCTTCTAAAATAATCTGTTAAATATTCTATTTTATTTTACGAAATAAGTTTGAAGAGATATAACACTGATATACTCTGCCGATGTGCTTTAATGGAATAAACTTAATTAAAATCAGAAAATATGTCTCGTTTGATATTATTTAAATAATACACATCCCCTTATGCGCTTAGAGTTTATACTATTATCCCAAATCATGTCACTCAAAGTCATATATAAATCATGTTAATACGTTCATTTACATATACTTTGTATCTATTCAAATATATTTATATTTCTTCATATATGTTGATATCCTCTGGTGTAATCCGCCGTCCCTACCTATCTCTCCTTCCCCTCCCACTCTCCCCCTATCTCTCTCTCTCTCCCTCTCTCTCCCTTTCCTGTGTTATTACCATTTTCTATTTATATCTTGTCTAGCCTTGCACAATATGAAAGATAATACGTTTATGCTTCACCGCGAATTTCTTCCTCACCTTATTCACTCTTTTTCGTTGATGAATATTTACTGTTTTTATGTCCTTCATACTCTGTCAAAAAGATAAATAATAACATCATATCTACATGTATATCATTTTATTTCAGTGCCCGGGTAAAGTTGGATAAATAAAGGAAAGTTAAAAAAGAGCAAAAAGGATATAACACATCTTTTGTATTCTAATGTATATGTACAAGTATATTTTTGGCCTACTTATGTTTACATAACTGTTCATGAGTATTGGTGGTCTACCTCATTATTCCTCACGAAATCCACTCGAACGTAGATATTATTCCTTATCTCTCCCTTCTAAATTTCGACGAATCAAATGACTCGATATGTCAACCTCATGTTTCCTAAAGACATATAGGGGTTTGATATCCCGATATGATGAGCGATGTAGCTACTCTCATCACCAACTCGGAGATTCGAACATATGATGCTCTTAGAAAGGTAAAGGGGAAAAAAAGGAGGGAGGGTTGGAATAATCAAATATTGCATTTGCAACTTAATTGTGTACATAATGTACTTTACATCAACATGTGAGTATTGAGGGCTATAAGATATAGCATATCCTACATACTTTACAATCAAATGTTAAATAAATCAAATACAAACAATCACGGATCATGTCAAAAGACTAACGAAACATTATTAGGAACCCTCGCGTCTTATATTTCTCCAAAGTTTGTTGGCACATATGATTAAGAACATTGTCTGTGTTTTACCATAATCTTATTCACAGTGGATATAGGAGAAATGATCAATGAAAGTGTTTGAGAAATGCTCTGTCTCGTATGATTCACCCCTTTTTCATAAAATTAAATAATGAATAGACAACTCATTCTCAGTTTGAGATCGACGGCCTCTATAGATTCAAGATTCAAGATTCAAGATTTTATTGTCCGTATATAATACAGAAATTGTTTTCCATTGGTGTAACATATAATATGTAAAGCATAAGACAAAAAACATGGTGTCGTGTGCTGAAAGCCAAAAGGGCGTCAAGACTCTATAAGAAAAAGTCTATGAGCAGGTACGGTCCTCCGGCTTTCAGCACAAAACATTACAAGACAGTTAAATGTATAAAACTTATACATAGCAAGAATTTTAAATACAATTCTAAATAACATCATGAATAAATTCAGGTATGCATATAAATGTGAATATGAAAGTAGAATAGGAGCAGAAAGAAAAAGAAAAAGAGAGATCAAGCTCGAAGGACTGATAAAAAAAAGAAATATAGAGATATTTGGTAAGGTTCCAAAGGGAAAGGGGTGATAGAGAAGGAAGCTTGTTTGTTTGTGTCTGTACACAATGGTGGTAACGTGACCCGTTCAACTTCATGGTCAACTGCTAATGAGTATTTATGTATTCATGCAAGTGTGAACGAATATCACTTGCTTTGTCACAATCAACCTTTTAGTACCATCTACCGTGTCAACCATAACAATCATTAACCTATATGTCACGACTGAGATAGACAGTATATGAATGATGGTGTGTCATGGCACAATGGCAATTTGAACGCGTTTAAATGGATGTTATTTTTCTCAATAGTAATGGTCTGAAAATTGCTTTTTATTCTTTCTCCTTATTTGAATGCATTTTTGTATTTTCAGAACATGTTCGAATAAAAGAATATCTGAACTTCGAAACATTTCTGTATTCCGTTTGTTCACGGGTCTTAGAGTGAGTCGATGATTGTTTTGTAGAGGAGAGTTAAAGTTGCTAACACTAATAAATTTTCCATTATTATAGTGAAACATGTTTTTTTTTAATAAAGATTTTAATCTTTAACAGATGAATTTGAAACCCCAAATCAAAGCCAAATTTAAAAATCAGTTCATCAGAGTAAAGCTCTTCACTTAACTTGAATTAATTTCTAAATCATCTCCAACCTATATGAGCTCCAACCTTTTTGATATGCCCACATTGTACATTCCCCCAATATGCTATGCTTTTGTTGCTATATGATATACTTTATGCTTTGAAAACAATTAATACATTTATACAGTTTTGCTTGTTGAAGTTATATAACTTCTTATTTATCAAACAGTAAAGAGAAACAGCTTAGGTTTCATTTTTTCAATGCTACAAAACCAATCTACATCGTAATTTAATAACATTCACAACGGACAAACGGGTT